GGACGTCTTCTCGACATGGCTCTTGTGATTTCATCAAGCGTAAAGAAGCAAGTGCCTTGCGAGGTGCGAGTCTCGAGACTCCTCGACTGAATATGGAGTCTCTTCGTGAGTCCTAACTAATCAGTCTTTAGGAAGAAGGCAAGAAGACGCAATTTTTCTGAGAGGCGCTCTTGCTGAGGTGATCCCAAGACGTGCTGAGAAGCTTCGCATGGTTTCCGCACATGTGAAGTAGATAGGCAGCGTGTGACCCTGTCCAACCGTCACAACAGATAGGCTTGGCTGCATCGAACGGCGAAGCCGAACACAACTTATCCTGAACGGTGACATCGGCTCACTGAAGCCGATCCATCCGGGATATTACGCCTTCTTGCAGACAGCCACACAGTGCGTCGTTAAGACGTAACCGCTACCGTTTCGCTAACTCGCGGTCAACGAAATCCTGTCGAGAACGAGGTTAGGCTTACAGTCGTAATCGTTACAGTACCGAAAAGCCTCTCAGGGAGCTCGGCAACATTCCGATACCAGTGTCGTTATTGGCCAATCCTGTACGTTTGCACCCGACTCATGACTGGAGTACCTTCCCGAATAACATAAGAACGCTGTCGCAGGATGCTGTGAAAGCACAAATGAATCTTATTCGGCGCAACGTGACGCAGCAGTGCTATCGAGGCATGGCTGCAATCTTCTCAGCCATGTATCTCGTCGACGGACGCATCATTGCTGAGGGCAAATGCTTTCATTATTGGAACGGTCGCAGATGGATAATCGATAACGCGTTCCATATACAAACCGTATTCAGCAACCATATGGCTCGTATCATGACTTGGTACTCGAAACAGAGATTGAATGCTTTCAAGCGGGAGATTTGCGTGCATATGAGAGGCTCTGCAACAGAGCAAAACGTTTTATCAACGCCAGAACCAGTCCTTCCAGATTGGGCATTGAAGCCAACGACCGAAGAAGAAAGAAAAGCATGCAGCACTGCATGGAGAATGGTCAACAAAACGTATCCATTTCCAACGAAGAGGGATCTGGTGGATCTGACACGGGGATCCGAGGTTCGTGTATGTCTTGAATTTGTCATGAACTCCTTGCAGGCTTCCCAACCTCTCAGCGAGATGATGGATATTGCCAATCCGTTCTTGTTTGCCTGTCAGACGGGCGTCATTGATACCGAGACCGGAGAGTTGCTCACATTTCATCCTGCTCACCTGTGTTCGCGCGCGTCAAAAGCAACTTTTCGTGGAATGCCAAAGGCCGGAAGCCGATTCGAGAGGTTCCTGTTTGATTGCTTCAACGATGACAGAGAAGTACTCGACTGGTATCAGCTCTTCTGCGGCTATTGTATGATGGCAGATACGAGTGAACAATTGTTCCTCGTCAAGCAAGGCAATGGAGCTAATGGAAAATCGTTGACAAAGCTGGCAAGTCTCGAAGCTCTAGGCAATTACGTTGTCGTTATGTCAGAAGACTGCATCATTGAGGCTGGTAAACGGTCGGCTGGCGCGGCTTCGAGCCACATCATGGCTCTTCGGGGCGGATGGCTTGCTGAAACAGACGAGTCGCGAGAGAAAGCAGTTCTAAATGAGGCCGCAATGAAAGCCCTATCAAGCGGGGGGACCACTACAGGGCGCGAGCTGCATAGCAGACAAGAAACATTTGAGCTCACCGTGAAAACCGTCCTCAACACGAACTACAAAACAATTCTTCAGAACGTATCCTACTGTGTCACTCGACGCTTGGCACTACTCCCGATCTTGGTCACTTTCTTAACTCCTGAAACACTTGATTTTAGCAAACCACGCCAAAAGCTTATCGATACTACTCTTGAAGCATACCGGAAAAGCAACCAAGGTCGAGATGAAGGTCTATCATGGTAAACACAAGGAGCAAAGTGCTATCATGAACTCAAGCGAACGAATCCCAACACGCTACCACTTATGCGCAGACCTCGTGTCATGGAAGAAGCTGTTAGAGCATACATCAACGACTCGGACATTGTGAGGCGATGGATCGTCGATTGTCTCGAATTCGAAGATATTCAACCGGGAGAAAGAGCGACATGGCACTTGGCCGTTGGCGAACGGCTCGGAGAGGTGTTTCGAGCTTGATTGAAAGAAGAAGACTTGACTAGCTCTCTGTCGGCGACGGCGCTGAAAAAGCGCATCTTGGAGTATGCTGAAGGCAAGAATCGGGTGGTTGCAGACGGCCGATTCACTGATAGCCAAGTCAATCCCGAGGACAGTTTAAAGGCCTTTCGGGGGTTCGACTGAAATCCGGCTATGAATTTCATGTGTAAAGGTAGGTGACGACGATTCGAGCGAGCGCTTACATGCTATAGACTTTGCAAGCTGATTGCTTGGTAAGATATATTTTCCAGGTCTAAGTTATGGGCTTCTGGTCTGCAGACCAAAAGTCTGGTCTGCGGCCCCATCTAGGCACGATTATGCCACTGGCACAAGTACCTTTCTCGTTTGCACCAAAGTGATGTAGCTTCTTATGATGATAACGACCATACGTATTATGCACATCAATGCTGTTGGAACATGCCTGCCGCATATGATCAAACGTACAAGTCATGGTAACTTTTCAATTGATGTCTTTGCTTTAATAGGGTGTTTAGTACATCAAGAGTCGTTGTCGTACAGCCGGACTCCACGTGTCCGCTCTGCCCGCAATGCGCAGCTTTGGTTCGTCAACCCGTGCTGGATCGCTATTCCTTCCGCTAACTAGATTAGCGAGGATGACCATGAACGCTACGAGGCTGCTATACCACGCTTGCATCTTGAAGGTGACGAGGAACGCGTTGCACGACTCCACTGCCGACGTATTGACCCATCGCACAGAGTCGTAGTAGTCTGCATATAATACGGGGATTGAATTAGTTCATCATAGGAAAGCCTTGAGACATGGCGTTGTAGAAGAATGCTGCATAGACATGCACTCTTAGAAGGCAGTCAAAAGTTGCCTCCCTTTTCTATAGAAGAGCAAGGGCGTTTTTGACTGAGGCACTTCAAACCCGTTTTTCTGCAAACGCTATGACTTGGCGCCTTCTTCGACTCAAGAATTGGTACCATCTTACAAATATGTCAGGGTCTTACCCGGATTGTAAGAAGGGCCGCATTTGTGCGCCTCCGCAGAAGTGCGTTGGAAGTGGAATCTGCAAAGATGAAGCATGGATTGATAAATAAAAAGGTACAAAGAGTTCACAGTTGAAGTGACTTGCGACGCTTGCATGGCAACGGCGCAGAGGATCATTAAAGCTGTATTCAACAAGAGCCGCCCCTTGGCTTGCGCAAATCTTTAGACCTTACCTATCGACCAGGAACCAAACGTTCGCAAAGAACGCTGGCTCTCTCCGCATCGCGTAGGCACGCAGCTTGCAGGCGTTGTCGTAGACCAGGTTTGAGGGGAGATCTTTCCGATTGAGGCGAGTGTACAGAACGGTCAATGGGTCTCGCGGCGACCCCCGCGGAGCATGACGTGGAAGCCACAGATGACACAATGAGGGCACGAAAAGACAAAGCCGCCCTTCGTGTGCCGTTGCAGACGCTTATTCTTCTTTAACCCGCTTTCCAGAGCGACCTTGGCATCGAACTCTCCAACGGTGAGCCCGCTCCGACACCGATGCTCCTCGTCGTGCTCGCGAGACCTACCAAGGTCGTCTTCGAACGGTTCGTATTGCGGCAGAGGGCGTTTCTGTTTCCATCCTGGAATCGGATAGCAACCAAGCTCTCGTTGCTCGCGGCAGTAAGGATGGTCCCGGGGAAGAGAGCCGCGCTCCGATCCGTCCGCCTCGAGACCGAGCCTGTCGTTCAACAGGATCCGTTCT